GTTATACATATACCACATTAAGGGTCAAGATGAATCCTTGAAATGGTGTGTTTGTGTAATAAAATCATCCAAAATGTTCCTTGTGTAACATAACAGATGCTAAAGTCCTCTCACATCAACCTGACAAGATGGGGAAGGCAACTAATTTTATATTTAAGATTTAGGAAGGTCTGGGGGTATCTCGGAAGTTGAAGAGTTTTGTTTTTGTATCATGCATTGAACTTTTGAACTTCTTCTCCCTTACAGGAGTGGAGAGTTAGTCTTGCGTGTCTATGATTGATCATGACAATTAGCAATTAGGTGACTCAGCGCCACTGTGGAAGACAAACACTGAATGACTGAGGGAGATATGTAAGTGCGGAGATCGGCACCTGTGGTGATTCATACCCTGTAGACCATTCCTGACACAAGATGGCGCTAACGATACAGCTGGCAGCAGATGGGTACTATGGTCTCTTGCCATCTGTTTAATCTGACATAATGAAAACTGGAAAACATATCCCAGTATGTCAACTTTGTACCTTTGTCTGATTTCTCTTGAAATTTATCCTGTGAAATCAATGGACTGAAACAGCACAACTTAAAACAGTTATAATATTCTGTTTTCTCATTCTTTATACCAGTATAACATTTAATCTAAAAGACCACGAGAACATACAAATCTATATTTTATATATTTTTTCATTTAATATAGTGTTTAAAGACGCACATACACTTGGTATGTGGTATGTCAAATAATTGGATGCTCAAGTTTTCAACCATTGGGGGACGTCGTCATATGAGCGAAATATTCTCAAGCACGACGTTAAACCCAATTTCACCTCACCTTCAACCATTGGGGATATGACTGTAAACATAATTTATTCATTTGTCTTTCTTGTTCATTACCATAGGTGAAATCAAATAAATATATTAAAACATGTACAATAACAATTTAAAATTGAATAGTATATAATAGTCGATGCTCCATTCAAGACCATGCTTGATTCCCTACATTGATTGCTCCTAGTCTGTCTCACAGTCCCTGAACCACATTATTTTCCCTACTGCCAAGCCCTTCCTGCAATACTAAAGCCCTCAATGAAGCAAGTCTATATTTCCCCAGGTAATCTCCCAACTCACTAGGGCTCCTTTTCAGTTTAAATGGATTTATTTGTTACTATCAAAATATATATATTCAGGGACTAAGTATTAGTCTATGATGGTTCCTCATGGTAACCAAGGACAAGCTGCTGCTGCTGTAGTGGGCTCATATGATCCCAGTGTATGTGATACACTATATATGTGAGTGGGCTCATGATCCCAGTGTATGTGATACACTATACGTGTGTGAGTGGGCATGGAAATCTGGAATAATCCCATGCCAAGTTTAATCTATCTACAGTGTATTGATAGAGAACAGAATCTTTCTTTGCTAACACACCCGTCACATTAGAAGGAATTACAAGGGATGAATGTTACATTACACAGTGATGCTCCTTGACCTGAGTAGCAAACTAAGCGGAAGCTTGATACTCGAAAATCTTCAGAGAACTTGTTAAATGATGGACTTCAGACTGCAAAATGTCCACTTACACTTCTCTGAATGGTAACCAAGCTTATTACAATCAGGGGCAGTGGGGTAGCTGAGTGGTTAAAGTGTTCGCTCATGACACCGAAGACCTGGGTTCGATTCCCCACATGGGTACAATGTGTGAAGCCCATTTCTGGTGTCCATCGCTGTGATATTGCTGGAATATTGCTAAAAGTGGTGTAAAGCTAAACTAGCTCAACTCATTACGATCAGGCAATTCATGCGTGTACATTGCTCATTGAGATGGGATAGCATCATCAGTTTTGTGAAACTACTGTTTTGTACATAAACATATTCTTATTCAGTGCTAACAGCTCTAGTTGATATGGCAGTTAACAAATATTTACTTCTGGGTAGTTATATTTTGAGTCTTATGAAAGTCATAGCGACAAAAATATGGTTTGATATTTCTTATTTAGAAACGTTAGACAGTGTTTTGTTTATGTTTAAGTCTAATGGAATGGTTATCAAGTGGATGTTTATTCAGCCAACATGTTGCTAATTAACCTGTCTTGCCAAAAACGTTCATCTTCTTCTCTGGGAGTCTTCATATGTGTAATGTATGTGTGAGGCTGCTGCACAGCAGGAGGTTGTCAGGATATTCTGTGTTACAGCTAATCCAGTGGTGAGAGTACTTTGGTGAAAATGATTCAAGATAGGACCAATATTGTGTTTCAGAAAAAGATAACTTTATAGTGAGGACTAATATGTTCACATGTTCCGAATAAACAGACTTTGAATTAGTCCCTGAATATATACTATTCACACTTTGCTAAGGATCAAATCATGGATTCAACAGAAAACTATGATTAGAGCTGTGATGTTATATTGTAGTATCGATAATCGTGATACTTTTTCTGACAATAAATACATCGATACTTTTTTCCGTATCGTGATATGTATCGTTGACCTTAATATTGTGAACTTTCACCAGAAATTGATGGTTATGTCAAAATTTACACTGTTTCTTGTTATCAAAATACACTTTTTTTAAAGAAAATAACTAAAGATAATCGTATCAAATCGTATCGTTCCATGATATCGCGATACGTATCGTATCGTGAAATTTCTGTATCGTCACACCTCTAACTATGATGTGGGCCAAATTTGGTTTAAACATCTAAGCTTATTGTAAGCATGGATCCTAGGTTTCAGTATGTCATTGCATCTTGTGGATCCCATACCTGCTATTGACAGGTGTTGTGTACTTGTCAATGATTCGTTCTATGATTTGCAATATGGTTGATTGGTGCCATGATAACTATTTTTATGGTTACTCATGTATCAAGTGCATACTGTTAGATTAAAGTGACTGTTTGCCTAAAGAGGGGTTACCATATTATTATTTATCCAGTTTTAAATGGATACAATTTCAAATTGTAAATCTACTTTTAAGTAGAGTTGTGAATTTGTATGATCCTTAGCAAAGTGTGAGTAGTATGTATAGTTTTGATAGTAACAAATGAACCCATTTAAATTGAAAAGGAGCCCCAGTTAGTTGGGAAATTCTGGAAAATCTAGACTTGCTTCATTTAGGGCTTTGGCATTGCTGAGAAGGCTAGGCTGTAGGAAAATAATGTGGTTCAGGGACTGAGACAGGCTAGGTTTGAATGTATGTGAGGAGGGGTTTTAGTTTGTACATTATATTCTGTATCAAATTCACATGGTATCCACAGATATTTTTTAGATGGAGTTTTTCTCATAACCGCTCAGGGGCGGTGGGGTAGCCTAGTGGTTAAAGCGTTGGCTCGTCACGCCGAATACCCGGGTTCGAATCCCCACATGGGTACAATGTGTGAAGCCCATTTCTGGTGTCCTCCGCCGTGATGTTGCTGAAATATTGCTAAAAGCGGCATAAAACCAAACTCAGTCAGTCAGTCATAACCAGTCAGTTATAACATATATATCATAATACAGCATTATGCTGCTGAACAGACCAGAGGTTGATAGAGCGAACATGTCTTCACTCAGTGGAGACTAACTACCATTTATCACCAACTACCTATTTTAGTCCATGGTGTCAGATCATGGTTAAGTGTTTCACTACACAGAATGCATGGAAGTTGTTCAAGGATGGAAGTTGTTCAAGGATGGAAGTTGTTCAAGGATGGAAGTTGTTCAAGGTCAGTTTTGTGGGGTGATAACATCCTGCTGGACAATACACTTTCTATGCTTGACTGTACAGATTGTATTCTGGTGTCATGTTATGTGAGAAGCTACTGAGGCTTGATATCATTGTGAGACTGGTGTGGATGAACTGTCCCGAAAGATGCCGTCTGCCTGATGTTATCAAGCCTTGGATGCCCAGGGTTGCTGAAATAAGACCTTTGTGATAACCTTTTGGCTTCCATGGGCCCCAGCGCCTTGCATGGGTTCCACATCTGAGAGTGACCAGATAAGATACTACTTTGATAACAACTAAGAAGATCCACAACACTGGACAGCCCTTATCTGTTAAAAGGGTTTGGGTAGCCATATGAGGTCTCTGCTCTCTTTGGTTTAACTTTCAAGGAATAGAGAAGGATTATTATCTCAACATCTGATACTTTGTAGTTTGGACAAGTTTTGTGTGTTGACGAAGCATGCACACATCTCTGGGTTTGGATTCATTTTTAATTAGAATGAGTTGAATAAATATTAGGATCTTTGAAATATATTGGACAAAAAGTACTGGGGATCATGACTTTCGTTGTTGTTGATATCTTCATGAAATTAAGTGCTCAGTCATTGCATAAAAAAGTATCCCCCAAAACATTCATGATGCCTAACCTGTTTAGTTGCCTGAGCAATGAGAGTATATGTTCATAATGGTTTAAGACTAATGTTAGCCTTCTATTTATGATTATTGATAGAATGGGGTTTTATTCTCATTATATGCATTTATTAACGTGAAAGTCCTTGCATGAAAAATGAAGTATAGAGACCTATGGCAAGTAAATGTATGCACTTTATCTTGGATTTTAATCAGAAAGTCATGTTTATGTTGGCAAAATGGCTTGGCATTTACAGAATTACTCCAAGAAGGCAAATACATCATCATTAAAAATGTTTCTGTAAATAGAGCCGAAACAGTAAGCAATCATCAGAGACAACCATTATCACACAGTGATAACACTAGAATCTTTGAGATGTAACACAGCTTTCCTTGGTACTGGCTAGGATCATTTCAAAAGAAACATTTCTTGTAGTGCATCCTAGTAGCTATTTCAAGAATTTTTAATCTAGATGCCAGTTGAGTTGAAAGCGACTGCCTCCTTGCTCCCTCCCTAAGTTCTTGTTAGTTCTGCTTTCTATGAATGTGAACATGAGGTGACGCAGATTGGTCGCAGGAGAAACTGTGTCAGACACTGCAGGAAGAGAAAGCCTGGCTGCTAGACTCTTTCACCAGCAGCCAGTGAGTGACAGTCCTCATTCCACAGAGAGCAGACGCCTTGGAGCAGACGTCTAGCAGCAGACGCAACATATTCAACTCCAGACACCATCAGTGCAGGAGTTTCTCTTCATCCTTGAAGGAATCTTTTTTGTGCTTTTTTATTTTCTTTGGAAAATTTGTACTCGAGCAAATTGGATTTTGTTTATTCAAGGAGACAAGCAACGACTTTGGAGTTAGCAAATTCAAGGATAGTTTGAAGTTAGCGCAGTGGATGATATTGTTGCAGAGTGCTCAGGATCAATACTGTTGGATTACTTGGAGCGGGCACAAGAGAGTCAAATGCTGTTTCTCTGATTCCCTAGGTGATTTTTCTGGGTGATTTAACGGCACCTCTTACAAGTTGCTTCATTCCACGGAAGTTATTTACATATTTTTGTGGTGAGTACTTGGTGCTGAGGAAAAGAATTGTATGAAAAGTGATCTTTATACTTGTTGCCATTTTTTCAACCTGGATATGTTCTAGTTATGGCACTACCACTTGACCTTGTTTCCATACCTTATATTTGCAAATCTGTAAACTGATTCATATCACTTGCATATTCAGTCATATCTTATTTTATACTTCATCACCAATATCCTTAATGCATAACACTTTCACATGTCTATTTTAGTTTCTAAACTGGTTAACCTTTTAGTTGTTTATATCCCACACAGACTGGTCTGGTTTTGAGGAATACTTCGAAGTTTCAGGGATTTAAAAACAATGCTCAAAAGATGTAAGAGTATATACTCAAAAGAAGTTGGGATATGTACTACAGTAAGGACGTAAAAGATTTTCTGATATTTTTTCCATATGGCTCTGGTTAACTGAAATATATATCGTAATATGAAAAACAAGGGTGTTCCTTAACTTCTTTTGAGCAGTGTATGTTGTCAGTTGGTATGGCCTAAAAAAAATGTTGTTCCGATTACCCGACTGACCCTTGAATTCTGGTGCCGACCCTATCTTTTTTAGGCGGTGTGAATAAAATAAGCTTGATAAATGTGTTATTAGTTTGTACTTCTAAAAAAAATGTTTTTAAATATATATTTTTTAAATCCTACCTACCTACCCTAAATTTCAAAGAGGTGTAATCAGAACAACATTTATTTTATTTGACCAATTTAACCTTGTTCTCAAGAGAGAGAGAGAGAGAGAGAAGAGAGAACTCTTCAGAAGTGGGTTAATTCAGCAACAGTCCTTATGAGTAGTAATATGATCGTGTGTGTTCCTGATGGTGCGGTTGGTTCGTTATTCACTCAAGAGTCAATTACTGCAATGAGATTGTTTCTCTTTGTTTATGACAAGAAACTAATCATTCTTACGTGTTGTGTAGAAGTTGTGAGCTGTGAAAAGGTATTTTTCAAGAAATAATATAGAAAATTGAATTTGGAACATATTTCATAAAAGTAGGATTAAGGGCAAAATGATTGTGTAGATAAAATATGTTTGAAGATGTGCGTGAGTGTACGTGAGTAAATTGGGTAGTGTGTATGTGCATGAGTGTAGGTGGGTGAGTTGGGTAGGGTGATGTGTGTATGTGCGTGCATGAGTGTAGGTGGGTGACTTGGGTAGGGTGTTGTGTGTGCGTGCGTGAGGGTAGGTGGGTTAATTGGGTAGGGTGGGGTGTGTGGGTAGGTAGGTCGGTTAATTGGGCCGGGTGATGTGTGTGTGTGGATGGGGTTTGTGTGTGGTAAGTGTGTTGGAGAGATATGATGATGCTGCTGGCTGGCATGTGTTCAGTTTAACTAGATAACTAGATGTGTTCCTTTTGCTACTAAAGAAGATACTCCAGAGCTGCAACTTACAGCCACCAGTCATGGCTCTGGCTACGGTGCCAGTAACCAAATTGACAAAAATCAATGTCTGCTTCCCTGTATCTAATTCGGCAACATCCACTACCGACGATGCCCTTGCTGCCATTTCATCATTTTATGGACATTTCTGTTGGATGTGGTGCTAAATTTGGACTGTGCTGGTAAGAAAATCTAGAATGTTTCTAATAAGCTCCCATAAATCACTTAACCTATAGTGTGTTGACTCACTGGAAGGCAGAGTGCTTTCCTGAAAATACAGACATTTACAGAAGATACGATTCTGTGAAGTTGGTAAGTGATGGACGAAGCACGTGGGTTGTCGGAACTAGAGCCTATCCAAACAATCAGCCAGGGGGAGATAAGATGTGCAGTTATTTTTGTAGTTAACGATGTCTTAAATTAATTTTAGCCAATAAGCACCAGGCTTATTTCATCAAGATCTATTTAGATATTATATTGCATCTCAGAATGTTTTATTCCCTTTCTGGGAATACAAGAGGCGAGATATTTCATTATACACGTGTTACATATAGAAACAGTACTAATATAGATGATATGAACTGATATAGGATAACAATATAGTGTAGCAAGTTTATCTATAGGTATTTGAAATTTGTTTGAAGTTGTATATATGACCAGTTCATTATTTGCAAAAAGGAGGCTAATTTTTTTATGATGGTAAGGTTGTCAAAATAATTAATTTGTGAGGAAAGGGAATTGAATAGAGTGTCTAACATCTGAATATTTACAACATATCAATTATGTTTGTAGAATTGAACAATCATTGTAATAACCTAAAAATCTTGGGAAAACAAATCAAGCTCTGTTCACATCTTCTCCTCACCTCTTGCTTCACTTTACCCTTTCCTGTTCCACCCCTTTCCCCACCCACCCTTTTGCATCCCTATCTATTTCACCCTTTCTCCCCTCACACATCTTCTCTCACCCACATTTCAGAATCCATCACCAGTTATCCACCACTTCTCTTCTTCCAATCTCAACCGTACCTGCCCTGCCCCCTCCTTCCCCTCCCCCCCTCCCTCTTTTCCTCTATCCACCCCATAACCTGCCATCATATCCAGCCTTCTCACCCAGCCACTGTAACAGGACCCAGGAATCATGTCTATATTATAATGGGGGACATTAGTGGTATTATGAGAATACCCAATGATAAGAGCCATCAGAACCCACACATTTTCCTGTAACAAGAGACTGTGTCCCCAAACCTGATGAATTATTTATGTCATGAGTCAGTGTAGTTACCTGTGAATCACATGCAGATGTTGTTCAGTCAGTAGAACGCAATCACTGTGCTATATAATTGCTGGAACAACTCAAGCCAGTTTTGGAACATGAGTAACAGCAAGATATTTTTGTCCCGAGAACAGAACAAAATCAATTGAACATTAAGCATGACTGTCTTTATCTCCGTAATCAGTGAGAAATTCATAGCCAGGGAGGGGGGTGCTTCAGCGTCTCATTGATGAGGAATAAAAAGATCAATTCATACTGATTCATCAGCCATGAAGTTAAATAATTCTACTGACAGGTGATTAACTACAATGATATAGCATAAGATATTTATAGTGTAAAATTCAATGACTGGCAGTGTTGTACAGACTCAGTGAGTACAAATACACTGGTACATTCCAAATACAAATATGATAATAGCTGAAATTTGTTGGTGACAAATGGCACTAATTTAAGAATAATTTGTCTTCCAACAATATTATCAATGTTTTTTTAAACTGATGTAAAATTTTATGCAGGTTTGTGTTACATTTTTCAGTTGTTCACATTTTTTTATTATTATGGTCTTCTGGTTAACAGGGTGGTCATAGAAAAAGCCAAGACGGATTCCAGAATGATTCTTGTTAAATAAAATCGGTGGAAATCTTAGGAGTTTTTGTTGCACCTGTTGCTGAGTGTGCTGCACAGGCCGTGCAGCGATATTGATCCAAGCAGATAATACTGCAACCCGCATCTAAGGTTACCTGTGTTAACGAGTTTCTGGCATAGGTGAGTCAGAGATAGTCAGTAGGGTAACAGTTATATAGCGCCACCTACTGTTAGTGTACATGTTGGCATCATTGGTGGTTCACCTTTAACTTGGTACGTACATTTATTTTCTAACACATGGGTCTGTGTTTTCTTTGAGTTTTTTCCATAGTTTTTTGTTTGATGAAGGGGATCGGTCTGTTTGTGTTTCAGGAATGATGCTAATTGATTCTTGTAATTTGCCTTTGGGGTAGTAGTTTTTGTTATGTCTTTGATTTAGAGTGATGCTTTACACACATTGTAGATAAAGAAAAACCTTGTGATCTGGATGTTAAACTTCAAAGGAATGATACTGTATTTCAGTTACATGCATTTTCTGTATTGCTACAGGATATCTCCTGGAGCAGTTTTGATAGTATGGACAAATATTTCATTTTGGGTATTATTTTCCTTCAAAACAGATACTTGTCATATAAACCTTCCAGAAATATTTACTCTGCTCTGCCACTAATAATGCTGAATTTCTGTAAATTTAATTTCCAGACTGTCTGACATTTTGAAATTTGAAAAAGATAAGATACATGCAGACTTCTTTAAATTTCGAGCTCTTTTGCTAAGATTTACCTTTGACATAGAAATGATCAATTTCAAAGTTTTTCCAGAAAACTAAATACTTGCATTGAAACATCGTGCCCTCATCAAACTGTACTAGTCTCAGAACTTGCACCCCTTGGGAACATTGCAGACCTCCAGCTGCTGGCATGTACAGCAAACAGCCTCCACGGAGGAAGATATTGATAAATGTTTAGAAAATGAATTGTTCCTGAAAAACCACATGTTAGATTGACATGCTGACGGACACAAGAGGACAAGATTGATTTTTCTACAGTATTTCCTCCGTATTTGACATTTCCGTTTTCCATCCTTTGATGAGAACATTGCAGAACTGCGATTAATTTTGCATGAAACTGTAGCCATGAATTAACTGGTGTCGTTTGATGATTTCACCTGTCTTTGGCGCCAGGGAATGTTTTCTGTTGTCTCCACGGTAACAGGAAATTGCAGCAAAATAATGAAGAAATGATGGAATGGAAATTGAAACGTTTCTCGTGGTAGATTCTCTTGCTGTGCCACGATAATTGTAGTAATATTATATGTTGGTTTTAAGTCATCTCGTGTTACACAGTTGACATTTCCCCGTGTGATGATGATAAACTCTCTAGACTTGTGCAGGAATGTTTAACACATGTGACCAGATATCATACATAGTGGTCACTTCGACAGGCTATATTGATTTTGGGCTTAATTGGTTTAGTTTTGATAATTGTAACGAGGCTTCCCAATATAATGGTAAATGTTTGTCATTTTACACAGTTTGAGCCTAGGAATATTCCAGTGTACATGAAACACGACACATCTATAGAGGGTGGGTGGTGTGTATAAATCACAGTTCTGGAGGTTATGGTCAGATAAAGAGGTTTTAAATTGTAACAATATTTATGGACATGATGTTCAATGAGAGGGGAGGTATCATGAAAAAATGTTAAATAAAATTGGAGATCAGTCAACTATGAGACTGTGAT